CTGACGGAGGAAAAAAGCACCGCCTCTTCATGACGCACAGCTCACGCTACGGTACGCCATTTGTGTCTAGCAGCGAAAAAGCGCGCACTCTGGAATTAGTCGTATAACTAACGGTAAGTTTACTTAATTTCATATAATTTTATCAAATTATGTCTCTAGTTGCGTTTACATGAATGATACTCAATTATATATCGAGTTGTCAGTTACCGTTTGGCCAATAAGGATCACTATTTTAGAGGTCGACGTTAGCCTCCTTTTTGGGCCTCTGTGCTGCCGTCGTTTTCAAGGCTTTGGATCAGTTAAGACCCGCCTTCTTCTTCATTGTGATTGGCTGACTCTGCGGCTGGATTAATTTGATTGGACGCGCTTTGCGTATGTCAAATTACAGTTAAAAAAAAAACACCCTTATGATGTTGCTAGTTAGCAAATTAAGCAGGGAGACAGCTGTAACAGCACAACATAAAGTAATTCTCAGCGAAATATAGAATACTACTTATGGAAAGTACGAGTATTACTGTAGACTGTTTGTGGGATGCGTTTTATTGTCGCTGCAGTTTCAACCTGATCTTTAAACCTCTCTGGCTAACTTTACTTTTATGCTAGCTGTTGACAGCTAGGAGACTGAGAAGTCAAACTTGATCGAGTTTTCAGTAAAAATGATCAAATTATAATTTTAGTGAGGTTGTTCACGCTCCGTTAAAGTTGTTAGAGTTGGACAGAAGATATACGGCATCGTTTCACTCGTTTTCACGGTCTTAATGTCATAATTAGTCCAAATCTAGAAACCTTTACATCACTTTAAATGCTGCAGAAAAATAAGCAACGTGGCTAATTTAGAAACATTTTATAAATATTAAATGCAGCCATTAACAAGTGGACTAACTGAAAAAAAATACAAACCAAATAGGACAAACACGTGAGCAATACTTGGTGATGGACATTCATTAAGCTTGTTAAGCAGGATTTAATATCAGTAAATTAAAATGGAGAAAAACGTAACATTAAGATTTAGAAGAAAAACAATCACTGTGCAAATATGATTTTTCTTTTGCTCTGTTCACCTGGATGTAATGTTGAATTAACACCTGTTGTATAGACCTGCATAGAAGCTTACTGTCCAGTTGTCTGTCCCTTACTGTCCAGTTGTCTGTCCCTTACTGTCCTCCTGTTTGCTTTTTACTGTCCAACTGTTACTTTCTCTACCCATGTCTTTTAATGTAGTTGTCTGTCCCTTACTGTCCAAATCGCTGTCCCTTACTGTCCACCTGTCTGACCTTTACTGTCCACCTGTCTGACCTTTACTGTCCACCTGTCTGACCTTTACTGTCCAGTCTTCTGAAACAACAATGGCCTTGCACACAAAAATAAGACGGGTGAAAATATTATAGTTAACTATTTTTGGTTAATCAGCAAAAGTGAGGACATGTTTGAGGCTATTTTGTTTAGAGGTTTGAGAATATTCTATAAAAAAAAAACAACAACAACAACACAGTTTCCCCCCCCCAAAATACCAAAAACCATTAGATCTAACTGTTAAAGACAGGGAAGAAGAATTCATATTTAAAAGTTCATGAAGAGATTAATGTAGCATTCCCTAAATAAATAGACCTATTTTGCCTTTCAGTAAGTTTCAACCAAAGATCTGTTAGCCCACAGTGTGTGATGAGGAGTGTTAACTGCACACACCACATCTGAGCTTGGTAAACTGACCACAGTTTGCTGAAGTGGATTAAGTGTGGTGGCCATTAAGAATCGGGCTGGTTCTCTCTTTGAGAGTTCATTAAAACATGTCAACTGGTTCATGAGATATTTTGCTAACACAGAGGCAAACGAAAATTGCACGATTACCTACTTTTCTTGGCAATGGGGGTATAATACCTGTTTGGGGGTCAGAAGGTAAGACACGGACCTGGCAGATTAAACCAAAAATACTTTAAAACAATGAGACAAGAAAGAGAAGGTTTGCTGCTGAGGTTTATGAGAACAAGTCTGGATACAAAGAACAGGATGGTGGTGGTGGTAGTGTGGTGTGGGGTTGGTTCAAACAGACAAGGTAAAATGACAAGTGAGCGATGTTAGCCTGTGTTTTATCAGTTCATCTAACTTTATTTCTACATGAGCTAAAGTAAACCCTGCAGGGACACTTCATACTGGATCTATCAATGTAGTGAAACTATTTATATTCAGGCTTACTTTCTTGTGTGAGTGCATGGAATTATAGCAAAAGATAGAAATTTTCTCGAGGTTCATCGTGTCCATTTTCATAATTTGTCACCCAAAATGCTGAAACTGCTGCAGATCTAAAATACATTAGCAATAATCACTGTTTACATTAGTCATAAAAGAGACTAGGAAAGTATTTTATCAGTTTGTGCGTACTGACACTAGATGGCGACATTTACTTAGCTTTGCCCCAGATGGATTAGAACGGTTAACTAATCTGTAAGAAACAGTTAAACAATCACGTGTTTTTAAACCACAAAAGTCACTAAATTAACTTTGTTTTTGTTTTTATTTCAGAGTTTCATAACATCTTGATGATTCTCGCCTCCTTCAGGTCTGTGAGGAACCATAAAGGGATGTGATATGGATACAACCTCGACATTAGAGGAAGAGACTGCTGGGAACAGAGTGCCTGAAAATGACTCTGTGGAGACGCAGCCAGATGATGAGGAGATGGAAGAAACCGCAGGAGTCCCACCGAGTCCGGCCGCTGAGGCCGATCGAGCAGACGAGCAGCACCCTGAGAGCCCAGTGGCAGAAGCTGCACCTGAAGGAGAGAACAGGTGCGCAGTTTGTGGCTTCTCAGCCAAGCAGCAGAGATCACTGAAAATTCACTACGCACGAAAGCACGGAAAAACCGACATTAAAACCTCAAAACCTCATGAGCAAAATCAAAATAATCAAGGCGTGAGCCCGGCTGAAAGGCGACAGGAGGACACTGTGGAGACAGAAAACCCAAACAAGAGGCCCAATCCTCAAGCAGCAAACAGCAGTGCCGTCAAAAATTTCACCAAAAAGCAAAAAGTTTCTGACAAGCAGCCGACAGATGAAGACGAGCCAGCCTTTGTCCAAGAGAGAAGAGTGAGCAAACGAACCCCCAAACCCAAAATCATTCATTCCTGCAACTACTGTGGACAAGAGTTTAGGGACAAGTCTCCTCTGGATGTCCACATCCTTAGATATCACACCAAAGATGTCCCCTTTACATGTGAGTACTTCATGTCCTTTAAACTGCTTTTATCTCAGCAGGTTTCCATGATAAATCTGTTTTAAAGTTAGCCTAGCTTCTCTTTTATACAGTTTGAATTTTAAAACCTTTAAAATCCTAAATGGGAGATATTTTTGACAAATCTTAATTTGTTTTTATGATTCTGACAATGCGGCAGGATGAATCTCATGCTGAGAGGAGAAGCATGCCAACATGCATGCAGGCGTAACTTGTTCTGCAATTTTTCTATTTCAACAGTTCATGTATCAAAACATTCAGCTCTTTCAGGACATTCCTGCTGCGACTTTTGTTATTTGTGCAGTTTTAACCTTTTGAAATATTTAGCTTTTTCGGCCATGTTTTCCTCATTGTAAATGAATGGAGCTCCATCCTTCAAGTTCTTTGATCTGTTTAAAACATTTTACTGCTCATTTCAGCTGTTGTTCTGCTTTAGTTCATTTCATCTTTTTTCTGCTATTTCAGCTACTTTCTATGTATGTCCCCTCTGCTAATTTTAGCCCTTTTTTGCAGAATTTCCACCTTTTGTATTTTTTATTTTTTTTAGATAATTTAGATGAATTTTTAGATCTTATTGTTCCATATTTTCCTAACACAGCACTTTGCTCTCAGACTGCAGGTTTACTTGCGGTTCTTTCCAAAAGCAGAATGGGAGAAAGATCTTTCAGTTATCAGGCTCCTCTCTTGTGGAACCAACTTCCAGTTTCTGTCCGTGAGGCTGACGCATTGTCCAGTTTTAAGACTTTCCTTTTTGATAAATCCTATAGTTAGAGTTGACTTGTCATGCTGCCATAGGCTTAGACTACTGGAGGACAAATTGACCTAATTTCCTTAAATGAATTGTTAAAACTTAACAGTTTTCATTTGATACTATTTCTATCTTAACATGTGATTCTGACCTGCCATTGTGTATCTGTTCCTCCTTCCTGTTCCTCTCAAACCCAGCCGGTCGAAGCAGATGGTCACTTGTCCTGAGCCTGGTTCTGCTAAAGGTTTCTTCCTCACGAGGGTGTTTTTCCTTTCCACTGTCGCCTTCATGCTTGCTCAAGATGAAAGTCTGTGATGAAGTTAAATTCAAAGCAGTCTGCTCCTCAGATAAATAGTGTTAAATTATTCTTTTTATATATGGATGTTTCTGTTCAGTGCAGCTGAGACGACCTCTGTTGTGACTTGGCGCTACAAAAATAAACTGATTTGAATTGAAAATTGAATTATAATTTCAGTTTTTATGCTCTTTTCAGTCTGTTTCCACTATTTTCAGTTGTTTTCTTTAACCTTTTCATCTACTTGCTAATTTCAAATTTCTTTTTTTGGTTTATTATTTTTGCTAATTTCAGAATTTTTAAATTTATCAAGCCTTTCTTTGCATATTTCAGCATATTCTGCTAATTTTCTACTGTGCTCAGCTTTTTCCACACAGCCATTTGTCTGCTGCTTTCTGCTTTTATTTTCTGCAGATGTCTGCTGTTCAAATTCAACTTGCATTAACAGTTTAGAGCTGAAATCTTTTCAGATGGTTTCAACTTCAGTAGCTTTCAGCAAAAATCATTCAGCAATAAGTATTCACACTGCATTTTCACAGGAAATGCAGTTTCTCTTGTTTAATTTATAATTGTATTTGTATTATTTTTATTTGTTTATTAATTCTCTTTAGTTTTAATTAATAATAATACAATAGTTCAGTTTCATTTGCAACTTTCTGGCCTCTACAGTTTAATTTAAATGTTGTTTATAAAGTTTTTTTTGTCTTTCAGTTGATGCCGATGTGAACATGGGTGAGTCAGATGAAACTTCAGACCGTGGCAACAGTGAAAAGGCTTTGCCGCCACAAGCGGCACCCAAACCGGCTCTCAACAAATTCCATCTGAAGTGCGTGAACTGCGATTTTAGGGCCAGCTCCGCCATGGCGCTGGAGAAGCACGCTCGTGTCAAACACCTGGACCAAGAGTGGTACCGCTGCAAATTGTGCAACGTGCAGTTCGCCACATCCGAGTGGATGAACATCCACCTGACGTCGGACAGCCACTTGCAGAGGCAGAAAGAAAATAACGGCTCAGAATTTCCCTTGTCCCAAGTGTGTGTTGAGAGTGTCCACAGAGGCAGCGCCGGAGATGATGCTGCTGTAGGCGATGTGGAAGGGTCCATCGGAGAAGAAATACCTGCTTTAACTGAAGGAGAGCAGGAAGTGGACGAGGCAGAAGAGAGTTCCAAATCTGTGCAGGCTGAGGAGGAAGCTGGAGAGCTCGAACCTCCCAAGAAGAAAAAAGGACGACCAAAGCTAGGAGGGTCTGTCACTTGTGAACACTGCGGCTTGGTTGTGTCCAACGCCACCAACCTCAGCGTTCACGTTCGCCGGAAACACAGCAAAGAGTACGGCTACTGCTGCACCCTGTGCAACTACAGCTGCGTGACCAAAGGAGACATGGATAGACACTGCTTCACTAAGAAGCATGTTAAACGAGCACAAGCGGGTTCAAACAAGAACCCAGCTACTGCTCCTGTAGTTGCATCATTGCTCGAATCCACAGTTACCCAGAACCCCGCCCTACAGACCGCCGACGCAGAACAGGAGTCCAACAACGCCCTTTCCCAAGAATTCAAAGTAGAGGAGCAAGCTCTATCAGACACACCCTCAACAAGTAGATCTGACTCGATCAGCACGTGCAGCTTGTGTGGTTTTGTAGCTCAGTCGATCCCTTCCCTCCATCTTCACGTGAAGAGAAAGCACACCAAAGACTTTGAGTATGTTTGTTTGGCGTGCGGCTACTACGCTGTGACCAGCAGGGAGATGTGCCGCCATGTCAGCACCGAGAAGCACAGGCAGAAAAGTCTGAAATACATAGAGATGCAAGGTAGCAAAGAGTCAGAACTTCCACAGAACAAAAGGGAGGGCGATGACCCACCTGTTGGAAATCTGAACCCTGAGCGTCCACATTCAGCTGGTGCATCTGATTCTAGTTCCAGTGACAATCGAGGTTTGGAAGTACAAAATCCCTCCACGTCCCCTGTCACCTCAGAGGTTGAAAGGGTTGTGGTTGGTGCTGCTAGCAGTGCACATGAAGAACAAGTAAAGACTGTTGCATCCTCTGCTCGTGTTGACCCAGATCCAGTCAACCAGACAGCAGAGCTAGCAGCCCTGTCTGAGGCCCAGCAGGCTTCAGGAGAACTTGAGCTCTCTTTAGAGGCGTCTGCACAGCAGGAGAGCCAAGAGGAAGAAGCTGAGCTAGTAGGAGACGAGTCTTTAAAGGCAGACGGGATGATTGTAGATACGCACATGTCCAAAGGTTTTCCATTTGATGCCTGCATTGTGTCTGTAAAGGTCCTTGCTGAGCAGGAGAAGGCATTGCTGGAAAGTCTGGCTCTGGGAAGAGAATCCTCTGTGATTTGTTTGACTGGAGGATCCTCATGTGACCTCGGGTCCTCCACTTCTGCACATGTCAGAAAGCTCAAACCCAAGGAAGGGAAGGACACCACAGGAAGAAGCTCTCACTTACGCTGCGAAGACTGCGGCTTCATGGCGGACGGCCTCAGCGGCCTCAACGTCCACATCTCCATGAAGCACCCCTCCAAGGAGAGGCACTTCCACTGCCTGCTGTGTGGCAAGTCCTTCTACACGGAGAGCAACCTGCACCAGCACCTGACCAGCGCCGCCCACATCCGCAACGAGCAGAACAGCGTGGAGGCGCTGCCCGAAGGGGGCGCGAGCTTCAAGTGTGTGAAGTGCACGGACCGCTTCGACACAGAGCAGGACTTGTTTTTTCATATCAAAGAGAAGCACGAGGAGCTCCTGAAGGAGGTCAGCAAGTACGTGCTGGAGGACACGGAGCAGATCAACCGCGAGCGCGAGGAGAACAAGGGGAGTGTTTGTAAATACTGCGGCAAGGTGTGCAAGAGCAGCAACTCCATGGCCTTCCTGGCTCACATCCGCACACACACCGGTAGGTACCTCGACCTTCCACGCTCACTTTAACGTTTTCTTCTCACCTGTTCTCTGTTTTCATCACACGTTCCTGTTGTTAATACAGAATACACTGAAAACACAACGTCAGGGTCTTTTTATATCAACAATATAAAACGTCTTCCTCTGGGCCACTATGAGCCTTTAAACACCAGAGATCAGGGAAGCTTTCATATTTTCTTTACAAACATATTCATTTTAACACGGTGACACTAGAGGTGCTTTGTTGAGGCCTGCCATTGAAGGATGAAGGCTGGTGTTACAGTTTTAGCTGAGAGTCATTCACAATGTGTACCACTGGATCGTGGGATTTATAACTTTGTAGTCCTTAAGTAAAATAGGCTTCATCCAACATGTGGTTAGTTGTTCTTTTCAAGTTTATGAGCTGTTCAAACAAGTTTTCCTGTAAAAATCTTGAAACAATGTTCTGTAGTTGCTGCTCAGGCCTTTGTGTTTGGGCTCAGCAGTGTAAAACATGGAGAAGCAGTCTGCTCTGCAGCACCTCGGGCCATTGTTAAGACTACTATCTACTCCAGCCAGGTAATAGCTCTTTCTGCAGAGGTGAAGGTAAAGACTGATTGAGCTTCAAGCCAACAGGAGAGAAGCTAATGGGGCCCAGATTGGGATTTTCCTGAGCAACGCTTGGTCAGAGACATGTGCGACTCATAATTGATGTGTCCATTACCAAGACTCAGTTGTAATTATAGTCAATAAGTCTCTGTAAATGTGTTAAAGCTTAGGCTAAAAGCATTGGAGGTCCAAAGAGAGGTGGGCTAATAATTTAAAATAATCAATGCAGACATATTCAAAGGCTTTAATTTCCCTGGTGTCTGCATGTCCATGTTTGTGTGCGTGCGTGTGCATGTGTGCGATGCTTACTGGATGTGTGTATATGTCAGCCTTCATGGCTAGCTGATTATCCTCAATCCATTAGGATTTATCTTGTCATTTATAATGCAAAGCAGGGCTGCATCGGTCAGGCCGTCGGCTGGGAGATGTCCGGCAGGTTAAGAACACTGGGCGCTCCATTACTTTTCCCTGACCGTGTGTATTAATTGCTTTTAAAATCAACTTAATGCAGGAACGAGATGTGAGGGCGCCATCAATAAATGCCCCTCTCTGACTCCTCTAGTCCGTCCCCCCTTTCAGGCTAAACTTTAATGGGACTTTAATTGAAGTCCACACGCTGTGCTCTCTGTGTGTACATGATTGTTTGTGTCTTTGTGTGTAGGAAGTCATTTTTTAATGCAAGCTGAAGTGACGAAGGTTCCTAGTTTAAAAGAGTAAATGGTCGGGGTGAATGTCAGAATGTTAGCTCCAATTTAACCAACTTGGAGGAATGCATATCACCCGCCACCTTTCATGCTAGTTTAAACTAAAATCATCTGGTTGAGGAATAATTCAGTTTTAGTTATTTAGGCCAAATCTTGAACATGACTTCATGCACAATCTCAAGCAGTCTTGTGTGATCTGTTAGTGCCAAGTTTCAATGTAATGTTTGTATAATTGACTGAGTTACAGACATTTGCATGTTAAAGTCGATCAACTGTGGCAGCCATCTAGAATTGGGTGGACTCAGAAATGTAATCACGTGTAGACATACAGTATATCTAGTGCTTACTTTCTGAAGGTTTCACAAAATAATTTACTTGATCATGGGATAGTGACATACAAAACAGACAAATGGACACAGATACACAATGTTTTTCTTTTAGCAGTGTGTGGTGTAATACTATTTCCAGTGTTTGTCTATGAAAGACAAACATATTATGGTGTATAGTTTCCACCCATAAACTTTCCCTTGTCCTGCCCTTAGTTTCTGATCCGCTCAAGATAATTTAACAAAACTTCATACACGTGCTTCACTACAAGTTACAGTGTCATGTACAGTTTTCATTACACCCCCCTCCAAGGTCAAGGTATTAATTCAAGGTCAAATTAAAACAAGATCTTTGCTTGTTCGGACCAAAACGTCTGGTCTGCTCAATATCGATATTGGCGATAAAGTTAAATATCGGACATCGGCCAGTCCATCAAAATAACTCATCGATATAAAAGGCGCTGGTTTTTTTTATATATATATATTTATGTAGTGTTACATTATTTTCAGACCCCTTTTTGGCATCTGCATTTGGTAACAGGTCAAATTAACAAAGACCATGCAGAATGATGAAATATTTGAATTCCACAGCAGAGAAATCTCTGTAGTCTCTGTAAGTAGGTCTAGGTCTCTCTTGTAAATGAGTCCACAACACTCAATGGGATTAACCTGTATAAATAAATGTTGAATGAAAAATATGCATCATCAGTAGACGGAGTGTCGTGTGCACCTTTCATTAACCCAGCTCTAAGATCAAGGTCACAAATCAAGGTCAAAAGTTACACAAGATCTTTGCTTGTACAGTTCAAGTTCAAGAATTTTTATTATCCCTATGGGGCAGTTTGTTTCACAGTCAGCAGCACACAAAACATCCGTACTAAAGACATTGAGACATTAAAATAACAGAGATCATCACTGTTCGTTGAGAAGACTGATCCCTACAGGGATGAATGAGTTATTCAGTCTGTTCATTCTACTTCTGGGCTGCAGATACCTGCGTCCAGATGGAAGCAACCTGAACTCACCATGGAGTGGTGATCAGGATCTGCCAGAATCAGTCTGGCCTTGTTCACTGACCTCATCTTGTGTAGGTCAGTGAGGTTCTGTCGATCTATGCCAGCTGTTTTGCTGTACAGACCATTGCTCTGGATAGTTGTATGGTTTGTTGATGGTTGTATAATGTGCCATTTGTGGTACTTTTTACGCAGTACTTTAGTTCTGATATTGTCTAATAAATCACCTGCTGCCAGAAAGTTAATGGGAATGCAGTACTGGTTTTAATAAAAATACATACTGTGTGCTGTAATGTTCTGTTATCGGCACAGCAATGAAGGAAACCGTTAGTTTATCTGGTTAAATCTAACTCTAGAACAGAAAAAATGAAGTAAATCCAGGTTTCTATGCTTCTCGACTTGTTTGCTGAAGTTTTGATTTCTTACTGCTAAACTGAAATATCTCAAAGGTAGAAAACCTGCTGGTTAAACTTTTGATGATTAATGTTTAGCCCCCATCCTTCATATTTATGGATGGGATGTACATTCATAATTGCCCCAGGTATCATAATTCGTGAGTTTTGAGGACACTTACTCTGTGTTACTTAAGAAAATGAAAGCACTGAAGCACCAACAAACGACAAGTCAAGGGCACGATCTGAAGTTTCTGTATATTTATTTTTTACTTTATTATGCCATAGAGTTATGTTCTTGTTTATGGGACTATATTAGTTTATGCTTTCTTATTTCTCTTCATTTTGACAACATATGTCAGTTGTTACTCCTGCTAAATCCCCTCATTACGTTGAGTTACTTACCTTTTATGTTGCGGCCATTTATCCCAAGAGTTTGTTTGCCTGGACTGTGGAGCGGCACAGTGGGGGTCTGCTGCTTTCTGAGCCGGGAGCACGTTCAGATCCTTTTAATTAAGGCCTAGTTTCTATTCACCTGATTAATCAGTGAAATCAGGGGAACTAGGGTGGGAGGCTGCACACAGATTTGTCAATTTGTCCCTTTAAGGGAACAACGTACACACGTGTGCATTTTGCCAACGAGGGTACAGCTGGAATTAGCATTTTGAGGTAAATTGGTCACTTTTTCACCGAAGTGAGCTGTCTGACCTCAGACTGAGCTTCAGAGCGATGGCCACCTGTGCCAGCATGGATGTTGGCACACAGGAGGTGTATACAAGGATGAAGAACACAGTACAGAGTACTTAAACAAGTAGTTGTCTGCTGAGCTTTTTCTAAGTCAGGACAGTTTGAAATTCAGCAAACATTATCTACACTAACAAAGATTGCTTAAATTAATATAATGTGCACAAATGTTATTTATCTTGCCTATACAGACATGGACTAAAAGAGTGCTTACAAAATGTAGACGAAAACTACACAGAGCTGAAGAATTTGGAGTGTTTTGTTAATTCATTAGCAGGGTCATAGCTATAGCTGATTGATCGATCAGATGAACAATTTGGCCGATTTCTGCAATTTTAAAATTTGATCATCATCAGTCATACCTCAGAATAAAAGTCAGGTGTATTTAGAAGCAGAATGGTGTGCATCAATTCTGGCTACAGTTTTCTTTATGCTACATTTAATAGGAGGGGCGCTTTATGTTTGGTTTCAAAAGTCTTCTTCTTCTTCTTTCGGCTTTTCCCTCTTCAAGGATCTCCACAGTGAGTCATCCTCCTCCATCTCTGTCCTCTTCATCCTCTGTCCTCACTCCAACTGCCTCCATGTCCTCTCTAACTGCATCCATAGATCTCCTCTTTGTCTTTTTCCTGGCAGCTGCATTTCTAACATCCTTCTACCAATATACCCACTGTCCCTCCTCTGGACAGGTCCAAACCACTGTCCCTCCTCTGGACATGTCCAAACCATCTCAGTCTGGTCTCTCTAACTTTATCTCCCAGTTGTTCAACCTGTGCTGTACCTCTGATGATCTCATTCCTGATCTTATCCATCCTTTGCTGCTTTTCCATGAATAACGGTACAGCACGGTTCGACCTTACTCGGAACTGTTCAAAGGCTTTTCCGCTAGTAACGGTTCGTAGAACTGGTCCTTTTTTTTTTTCAGAACCCTCAATCGAGCCGGGCCAGCACCAAAACGTGATGTCAGAACACTGTCGGTCACTGATTGGTCAGGGGGCGGAGTCACTGGCTGTTTGAGAAACTTTTCACATTAACAAGATCCGCCATTTGCAATTACTGGTGTTCAAACTCAAGGAGCAGCTGGACCTAAAGATTTTTAAAACAATACTGACAACACCGGGGTCTAATGCTGAAGTGCAGGCAGGTTTTTGTGCTTGATGGCCAACGACAAAATTCAGAGTGAACTAGATGGGGCTCCATCGGTCTCCCCGGTTCTCTCCACCGGAGACTGGGA